GTGGACCAAATTTTGAATCACCAACCAAAGGAGTCTTATAACATTTCAACTACCAAAGTTACCATAAAGGTTGCCAAATCTCTAGATCATGGTGTCTTGGTCGCATCCTCCAATAATCCGAAGCAATCCGGCCGACAGGCTGATTCTGTGGATGGCACAGTGACTTTGGATGCCAGCAGATCTCAAGAAAAGAAAAACTTAGAGCAGTGCAGTGAGAAAAATAGCTCATCTTCTGCCAAAATCAGTGATGGCACTTGCAGTTTGACAAAAACTAGTGGGAGTGCCAAAATAAGTGATCGGATTGATAGCGGCAAGAGTAGTATGTGCAGAGCTAGTACAAGCAGTGATGTTAGTGATGATAGCACTTGTAGCAGCATAAGCAGCAGCATTAGCAAGCCTCACAAAGCAAATGATTCAAGATGGGAAGCAATTCAAGCTATGAGGGCTAGAGATGGGGTTCTCGGTTTGAGCCATTTCCGGCTATTAAAAAAGCTGGGTTGCGGAGATATAGGCAGTGTGTATTTGTCAGAGTTGTGTGGGACTAAGTGTTATTTTGCAATGAAGGTCATGGATAAAGGATCTCTAGCTAGTCGTAAGAAGCTGCTCAGAGCCCAGACAGAAAGGGAGATATTGCAATGCCTGGATCACCCATTTCTTCCAACATTGTATACTCACTTTGAGACAGACAAATTTTCCTGCTTGGTGATGGAGTTTTGTCCTGGAGGAGATTTGCACATACTCAGACAGAGACAGCCTGGAAAATATTTCTCAGAACAAGCTACCAAGTAGGGACCTTGCTCTTAATTTCTGGTTATTCATTCTCTTTAGACACCTGTTACCTGAATTATTGAGCCTTTTTATTATAAAATTTCCACTTATCTAGTTCTTAATTGTTTAAACTACACATTTTTTCAGCCGTATAAAATGATCTTTGTATGCTTTGTTGCGACTTGGTTTTTCATTTTAATTTGTTTTGAGGTGAAAAACATGATAGCTGGTTGTCGTATGATTGGCAAAAGTTGAACTACACTTGTCTACCTTGTGAAACACACCATTACGTACCTTTTCGCTGACTCACATTATCACCAAAAAACTTCTAACTATGAGTCAGCACTATCTGAACCAATTTAAACACATCTGCTTGGATTTGTTGGATGTACACAGTAAATTTTACTATGCAGACCTTAAGCCTAACAAAGATGAGACATAACTTGAAGAAAAAGTTATGCATGTTTACTTGTATGTAGGCTTTAGGTGCTTGCACCTTTTACAGGGTTGTGCCTAAGGTGTGGCTTGGTGAAGCCCACGAGGCAGACCATTGGTAACACTGCTAAAAACATTCAACATTTTAATTGTAATGCGACCATCCACCTGAGAGACCATAAAGTAAACAAAATGGACAAACGGCACCATAATAAACTGACTGTGAATTGATGAACTGACATAGCAAAGTTGTTTGGTACTAGGAAATAACCTATCTAGAAGGTTAGTTTAGTAGAGATGGGGATGTTGAGACTCGAGTTGGATATCTACAAATACAAAACATAGAAAATAGACAGAACAATATGAAAGAATATGGTTGGCTTTTGTCAGTGATTTTTACATTGTCCTGTATCGCCCATGCTGGGAGCATGACTGGTACATAGACCATGAAGTTTGAGGCTGACATCGTAGTTGACCTAGAGCTAAACCGACCGTGAAATCTATATTTGCCCTTTGATGTTAATATTGCTGACGTCCTTGCTTCCTCAGATATGCTTGATTTTTGTATTCTTATTTAGCTTTTGAACCATTCTACACTTTATATGCAAACTCAGATGCACATCTACTGCATCATACTTTTCCATGTAATCCAGTATAATGCAGGAACTTAAAATACTGAATGTGAGAATCCATTAAGGATGATATGCCTGTGATTTTGTCACCATCCTCTGTTTTTCTATAAATGCAGATTTTATGTAGCAGAGGTTCTCCTTGCTCTGGAATACCTGCACATGCTGGGTATCGTCTACCGTGACCTCAAGCCTGAGAATGTGCTTGTTCGAGAAGATGGCCACATCATGCTCTCTGACTTTGACCTCTCACTCCGTTGTGCTGTTAGCCCCACCCTCATCAAATCCTCCCACCTCAACTCGGACTCCAAACGTAGTAATCCTCTCTACTGTGTTCAACCTGCTTGTATCGAACCATCCTGTGTCCAGCCTTCTTGTGTGGCCCTCTCCCCTCGATTATTCTCCTTGAAGTCGAAGAAGGAGCAGAAACAGAAGGTTGAGACTGGAAAACAGGTCAGTGCACTTCCAGAGCTCATCGCGGAGCCTACCGATGCGCGGTCAATGTCATTCGTTGGTACCCATGAGTACCTGGCTCCTGAGATCATCAAGGGGGAAGGGCATGGTAGTGCCGTCGATTGGTGGACGTTTGGCATCTTCCTCTATGAACTTTTGTTTGGAAAGACACCCTTTAAGGGATCAGGCAACCGGGCTACACTGTTTAACGTAGTTGGGCAACCACTGAGATTTCCCGAGTTTCCAGTTGTGAGCTTTGGTGCTCGAGATCTTATCAGGGGATTGCTTGTTAAAGAGCCACAACACCGGCTCGCTTACAAGCGTGGGGCTACGGAGATAAAGCAACACCCATTCTTCGAGGGTGTTAACTGGGCCTTGATAAGATGTGCAAGTCCACCTGAGATCCCAAAGCCATACGAGATTTTTCAGCCCCCGGGGGTTGTATCATCGGCAATCCAGAAGGACACCACCGCCTCTGAGAAAAGTTCTGATAACTACCTGGAATTTGATTTTTTCTAGTGAGTTTTCAGAGACAGTGGAGTTTATCGTATTTGTGTATCAGGCCATGAGTAAGAGTTCCTGAATGCCACAAGGATCTTAGCGATTTGCTATACATCTTCTGGTTCTCAATGTGGATGTTGTTGTCCCAAGCCAACTGTATTGTTTTTAAATCTGTAACCAAATGAATGTTGAGGAGGTCTCATCTTTTCTGTGATGGTAATGTCAAGGCCTTGGCCATCCATTTTTCACTGAACCCTTAATGGTTATCGAATATATTATTCGTGCGATAAGCCACTCTACTTATTTTCGGGTTGTTCCGAGAAATCTAACCTTATCGGACGTTGGTGCACATCTTGGCTGACTGGGGAGAGAAGGTTCAAATACTAGGACGAGTATCATCTAAACGAATTTGATACAAGATTGAGGACCAACTTGCACTCGAAATGTCTAGCACGGTTTTGTTCTTGCAATTTCCATGCACAATATTTGCATTGTCTCTGTTCTCAACGCACATGTTTTGTGTTTTTTGGTTGTCCTTTTTATCATCATCCATCATCTTCGAATAAATAATGAGTTGGTCTGCTTACTACACTTGCGTACGATAGTATGGAATTGTGCCTGTTGCTTCAGTGGCAGAGCTTCTTCTGCCTCCTCTCATGTCATGTTTCTTGTTTCTCCTGCAAGAAAGAAACTAAGCGACAACTCTTGTTCATCTTAGGACTCGATCGTCGAGTCCGGCTTGTGATGGCTCGCAAATTAACAACACGGGACAAAATATTGTTTATGCATCTTTATGTTAAAAGAGAGAGAGAGAGAGAGAGAGAGAGAGAGAGAGCAGGCCACAGGCCTTGTCTTCCTTTCGTGGGACGGTGGCAGTCGTATACAAGAGAGAGCGGGCCACAGAATCCACATCCAGCGCTGCCATGTGATGTGACAATAATATATGCCTATTCCTGCCGTGGTATCCCATCACATGACGTTAAAAGATCGGAAAGAAAGAAGAGAAAGAGAAAGAAAAGGTTGTCGTTCCGAGAAAATCTACATCTCTCGACGTCGATCCCTACCTTCCGCTTCGTCAACTCGATCAGAGAACCACCTCTTGCTTGTCACACGAGTTAGAGAGTAGAGCAAGAAGCAGGAACAGCCTCATTTCCAACGTAAAGCAAGCATCGATCGATCCAGAGAAAGCCTCGAAAGCTGATGAGATGCTCTTTTTAGTCTGCGACTGCGTTGCTCGCTCCGTCTCTATCCCTCTAAAAGCTGCATGCACGATCGAGATTCACAGCAACCCACCGCTGGCTCATCGACTTGCTACTGCAACGAAGATTCTTCTTCTTCATCATCACGCGCGCGAGCTCGCTTGTCGCCTTTTTTCAGAAGATAAAGAATCGTATCGCCCACTCGTCTCCATGGCTAGTAGCCTATGAGATCAGCCTTTCGGCAGGTCTTATGCCCACTGTCTGATTTGAGTGCTCCGTGGATAATAATTGCATGCCATTCGCCAACAAGTGGCCTGCAATAAATGAAGCTTTAGATGACATCATAAGTAAGTGTATATATCTATATATATATATCTGTATGTACGACTTGGTAAATCACATCGACTTTTCAGAATCCACCTGTTGTGTTCGTTCATGCACACACAAGTATAGAGCATAACTGTGTTAAGGTAATAATGGCTTCGCTCGGGTGGATTCCGTTCATCATCGACGGGTCTCTTATGCTTCTCCAATTCCATTAATTGTTGACCCTCGTTTTCGTTCTTGACTTGTCTTGTTTTGCTTTCTTTCTCATCATCTTCCGATCACGTGCCAAAGACCCGTTCCTGCAGACTATTCTGTAACCCCCCGCCAACTCCAAGACGATAGTACGTTGACCAGTCTAATCCGGTCGAGTTTGCCTGAGTCAAACATTTTGACCACCGGTCGTCCAATAACTAGACCATTAATATTCATTGAAGAAGAGAGATATTAACATGGCTCCATCATCATCATCATCAATCATCATCATCATGAAACATCATGCGATACTTCTTCGTAAATTCCTTTGTCACCGAAGAAACGGGTCCCATACGCTGCTGCGGCCAACGACGAATGACAATACCTACTGCATCCCGATACCCTCGACCTACGGCTGGGGCGAATGGGACGCCCGTGCGGGTCCCGCGAGGAGCCCACCGGCGGGGCCTTGCGTTTCCTGTGCCGTATGAAACGGGTGTATAAAAGGGCGTGGCGAGTCCTCCCTTCCGATTCCTTGCCATCCTGCGCCGATAGAATGGCGATCGCGTCGGAGGACGCGATCGAGCGGCTTTCCATGCTCACGGACGAAGGTCTGCTTCTTTCGCCATTCCTCCCGCCGAATCCTTTTCCTCGCTCGTTTTCGGTGGGTCTTGATGGTTTTCTTCATGTTCTTGCAGCCGATGATCTGCTGAAGGCTACATTTCAGGTTCGGTCCTCCGTGAAGTGAACTTCCGTGATTTGGATGAATTATGTGTTGGTTCCTTGGGATTCGTGGATCCGGGTTTGGGTTTTGGTTTTGGTTATGCTTGTCGAAGGTTCGTTTTTCTTGGATTCTTGGATTGGCGTGGTCGCCGGGGTCGGATTTCGACGCATCGGTTTTGGTCGATATGCTTCTTTGATATAGCTGACGATTTGGCTCATATGCGAAATGATTTACTTTTAAGCTTTTCATGTCATAATTTAAGAATCTGTTTGATTTGCGGCCGTGTGCTATCGGATGCAAATCTTGGTATCGATGTTACGAGTAGTGCCTCTTGGTAGGTTGGTGGTTTATGCGACAAGTAATATGCACTTAAAATAGGACATCCTTCATTTGGTTGAAATTGCGCTGATTGATCACTCTCTTTGGCCGCTCAGATTGGCTCCTTTTCTCTTAAACTTGCAGCGAGCAGGTCCATCTAGTCTTCACACTTTACGTTTCTTTATACGATGAGATTCCATATTTGTTTATTTTATTCTCGACCGCTGCGTCCAGTTAAAAAAATGTTATTTAAAGGTTGGATCTATGTTTAGTTGAGCTTGTCACCACGCTTGCTGACCTTTTGAGCGACTGGTGAGGTAAGAGCATTCGTAGGACAGAGTTCCTTTTTACTGTGTTGGGAATCTTTCCGAGCAATAAGGCATCAGCTGCAGTGCTGGTTGTAAATTACCCCATGGTGCTGGCTGAGTTTTCTTCTCTTTGACTTAATCCATAAACACCCTTTTGCCTGTTTCGACAACCATAACAAGCAAGTGCCAGTAATCGGAGTGGTATTTATTATATCGACTGCTTGCAGCATGTACTGTGGTTGCATAAGCCAGCTTCAAATTGAGAATAAGCACTTGCCTACAGAGATGTGACTGAACACAGAGTTACTTTTGGTCAAAACTTTTTGTTGCGTGTCCCTTTATCTATGTCTATATGTATATATACAGATAGAAATACATGTTGTAGTGGTTTCTTCTGTTTGAATGCAGGTATTATGTTTGCAAAGTATTTATTATCTGTGTTTCCGTGCTTGTTACCTCTTTTTTTTTTAAATTTTTTTCTGAATGGTTTTGTTAATGATCCATCTTTGTCTGAGATGTCCGATATATAGATTTTACAAGTTAAAACCTTTTTTCATTGGACTGGAAAAAAGAGAATCAAGGGTTTACTTTGTTGAAAATACCTACTTATTTGATTTGTTTGTTTGCAGAATATGCACCAAGGGCATCTGACACATACTTTGATGCGCTTTCTCAAGGCTAGAGAGTGGAGCGTCCCTAAAGCACATGAGATGGTATTGGCTGCTTTATGTATTTTAAATTTTTTTAGCAGCTGAGAAAGTACATCTTTCTTTTGCTAAAGACGCCCATCTTTGTTACAGCTGGTGAACTGTTTAAACTGGAGGGTACAGAATCAAATTGATGACATTCTGTCTGTAAGTTTATGAACTTCTATTAATAGGACTTGTCAATTGAATGAATGATCTTTTTCCAACACACCAATCTTGAGATAACCAATTCTGTGATTATGAAAATTTAGCTAGGAATTCTGTACAGGGGATGTATTTATCAAGGACCGCCATGCTGTGCTGACCGGTGGTATCAGCCGTGGGCGGACTGGCATGCACCATTCAGCACACGTTATGCTGGTGCATACCAGTTTTTGAAAAAAGCCAACTGGAAAATATTAAAAGTTTATTTTTAAAGATTTTTCCTAATCTATTGGTATATAAATTGTATTTAGATAAGAATAGTGTATCTAAGCCATAAATGATGAATAGGATATTAGGAGGAAAAATCTGTCGAGAAACAACTTTGTCGCACCGGAAGAAGTTGCTTTTGTTTGATCTTGAATCAACCGATTAGAAACTTTAATCACAAGTAAGAGTGTGAGAAAGAGTGAGAATAAGAGAGTGAGTGAAAGAAGGGGGAGTGAAGGAGATTTAAAGCCCCAAAAGAGGCCCCAACGGTCCATTTAACCATTGGGATCAAACTAGCCCCGATTTGGGTCAGTGTCGGTCAAATTCTGATTGGTACCAATCCGTATTGACCGATACATGACAAGTATCAACCGTATCGGTTGATACATGCCCAGTATCAATTGTCATGGGGCCATATTTCAGTGTATCGCCCAAAATGGACTGATCCGCATACTAGTCAATTAGTGGACTGGTATGAATCACCCATTTCATATCATTTTGGGCAGTATGTCAAACCTTTATTTATTACTATATTTTGCTTTTTCAATATTTTTTGCCGATACAACTCTGTTCTGCTCATTGAAGTAGAAAGAATAGCTAATTTTTTTAGGTTTGAGCTGAAAAATGCAACAATAAGTTTAATTGATTCATAAAGGTAAAATTTATTCTCAGATTAGCAATCAGAAAAAGAACTACCACGAATGCTGCTAGCTACATTTTGACATATATATTCCAGACTCGTGTCATGAAAAAACATAGCATAGCAGATGTTTCATATCATGACCAACGCGAGGTCTTAAAAATACAAGGCTGATTGTTCTCTCAGAGACTTTAAAGTTCTAACTTTTTTCCTTTCCAGTATGACTGTTCTTTTTTTCTAACTGGATCCTGTGTCAATGCAGAAACCTATAACTCCAGCAGGCCTATACAGAGGAATTCGTGAATCACAATTAATAGGATTATCAGGGTACTCAAAGCAGGCAAGGGTTTTTGCTTATATCATCATTAAGATTGGCTTATTATTCCTGATTTCAAGTATGTTGACCTAGTAAACATTCTTGATCACTGGGGGTCATGCTTTAGTATGAAAGAAGTCTTTAAATTTTTGTTCATTTGACGTACTGGTCCTATGCTGTGTCTGTCTTTTTAGTCTGTGAATTGTTGTTCTGAAGCTAAATGCTTGTTATGATGATACCAAATTAAGATCTAACAAATACTATCTTGTTATATGCATGTAAGTTATGTTTCTTAATGTGTTTTCTCTATTTCCTTTTTTTGACAGGGCTTTCCTGTTTTTGCGATTGGTGCTGGTCTCAGCACATTTGATAAAGCATCTGTAAGTCTTAAAACAGTTCTTATCATTGTGTTTTTCCTCAGGTATTTTTATTTTTCAACTTTGCATCGACACATAATTCATGATATTTGTGCAATATCAAATTATATATATGTATGTATTGTTATTAATCAATTTTGAGTTGCCTTTGTTTGCGTCCATAAGAAATGAATTATGCTATGCCATAGAAGCTTTAAAATCAAGCTATGGGTCTTAAGATACATGATAGAAAGAGACACAGAAGAGCATTAAACTAAACCTGGGATCAATTCTTAATTCACACACACAATGACTTATGACTTGGGTAGGTTCCATTACTTATATGAGTAGGTAGTTTTACATCACACGGCACCTTACTTGTACTTATTATATGTGAAAGTAATTCGAATAGGGAGTTGGTTATCAAGATAAGTGCGAATCCCATATTTTGCAGTTTTACATCTAACTGTGTGCTGGTTCCATAATTGCCAAACCTGCCCTTGAAGTAGCATTGCATGGACATGGTAGAAATCTACACATGCATATCTATTATGTAGTCTTTGTTTCTCGTGCAATAATATTGTTAGTGTGTCATTGATTCACATCATGGATTCGAACCAACCTGACCGGCTTTCTAAAGGTTATCATGTCTCAAGAACAGGGTTTCCAGGAAGTAATACACTTATAATTTTGTTGCTTCGCATGAATAAATAAGCAGATCGTTGACTTTGACTTTCGAGGAAGTATTTGCTTAAAGTACTCAACTGCATTTTTGATAAAAAGAAGTCTCGAATTCATTGCAACATGAATTCTCCTTTTTCCAACATCTGATTACTCCTGTACTGTTTCCATAGGTTCGCGACTATTTGCAATCACACATTCAAATTAATGAATACCGAGATCGTGTAATCTTGGTGAGTATGGATATTGCATGGCCTTCATGCTTCACATGCATCCAGCTACCCTTTTACGAGCTCTTTTTCCCTGTAGCCTGCTGCGAGTAAGAAATACGGGCGACATGTTGGAACATGCTATAAAATTCTGGATATGACCGGTTTGAAGTTTTCATCCTTGAGCCAGATAAAGGTTATTTTCATAATGCATTACCTTTCTTACTTAGGTCTTTGAAACTCTCCCCAACATATGCATAGGATAATTGAGTTGCTGGTAGCTGGAGGACAGGTCAGGATAGGTCGTGCTTCCAGTGATATGGAGCTTCAGTCAAAGTAGTGCCCTAAGAACAGGCTGATCACATGAGAGCACAAGCATGAACCCTTGACATCTCTAGTTTTACATTTAAAAAGTCATGCAGTGTTCAAAGAGTACTAGTTTAATAAAAGCCGACTTTGCTACGATGAGTTTGATATGGGAGACACAATTGATCTGCCGGGGTATTATTTGCTTGGGCTCTTCTAGCATGATACAGTAGTGCATTTGATTATTTATTTGGCTCTGACACCTTACTAGCTTTCCTCATTCCACTGCTCAGAACTACTACTTTTTATCATTTTGCTTCAATCATCGTGACAGTTCACTTCCACCCAATCCATTTTAGCTATCTTTATTCGTATAATTCCGCAAATGAATTCGAAAATCATGTATACATATTGTTTCTTTCACAATGAGCAACATCTAATGGTTTTTTTTTTTTTTTTTTGCTTCCTTTTGTTAATAGTGCAGCTATTAACCATCATAGCCACTGTCGATGACCTAAATTATCCAGAGAAGACAGAGACGTATTATGTAGTGAATGTTCCATATATCTTTTCAGCTTGTTGGAAGGTATACATACTCGGATGGATTTTTCATAATACTAATAGTATCTAGTCATGCTAATAATGATGCTGCTTCTGTTCCATTCTGGCTATAGGTCGTGAAGCCACTCCTGCAAGAAAGAACGAGAAGGAAAGTTCAAGTGTTGCAGGGCTGTGGCAGAGATGAGTTATTGAAGGTGAAAAAAAGAAAAAGAGAGAGAGAGAGAGAAATATTCGTTTATTGCTACCATTGTTGATCATTCATTAATTGCATGGCAATGGCATACTGACATCTTTTTCGTTTTTAGATAATGGACTATGCCACCCTCCCCCACTTCTGTCGAAGAGAAGGTTCTTCGTGTTCTGGAGGCGCCGCCGACTGCTACTCCTTGGACCATCCCTTCCACCAGCAGCTGTACAGGTACATGAAGCGGGAAGCAGAGCGTAAGGAGGCGGAGAATGGTGGGAAGCTTGGGAAGGAAGGGTCGTTCCCCGTGGAGGTGCCGATACCAGAGGCCATCATCGAGTGGGAGCTCCATAACAAGTTGGGGGACGCCAGTGGACGTGCCATGGACACTCCATCATGATGATGATGATGCTTATTAGCCGGGAGCTGCAGGATTCGCGAAGGTCGAATCCAGGTAGGTAGATGATAATACCATCGACGGTATGTGGTGGGCAGCAGCAAAGCAAAGCAAAGCACCCATCGTCATGGTCGGGGTCTTTACGCCGCAGAAAGAAAGATGGAAGGAAACCAGTCGTTTATTCAGATATCATCAAATAATAATATTTAAGGAATAAGACGTAGGCATCCATACAGTCATCCGATGATGTGTTTTGCGGCGGAGGGTGTTGGTCCCGCGTGTCTTCTTCACTCCTTGCTTGGTCTGTTGTGTCTTTGGAGGCAGGCACGATGAGGATGGGTTCGAGTTCAACAGGTTAAAACGCAGTCGTAGAAAGATTCAGATTCGTAGTGATCTTTTATTTACCTTCAAATCCCATCTCACTTTGCTTCCCTGACTTTTACTCCGCTCAACCCTTTTTTTTTTTTTTTTTGATTCGTACGAATCTAACCCGGAAAATCTTTTTATGAAAAATCCCCTCACCTTCCGGTGAGAATACTACTGTCAACATTCCCGTAGAAAAATATTTTTTTTGGGTCTAGATTCTATTCGTGTGCATGAGGTAACAGTACCTGCCGTGATCATATCATACCTCACCTGGAAAATCCGCTTACCATCAGGTGTGAATACCGTCATCGAATTTGGACAATTTGACGCCAAAAAATTTTTTTTTTGGCCACTTTTCTTGATTGCAGATGTAAGGTAAGCATACATGACGGTGATCATACCAGATCTATTATGAAAATCCCCTCACCTTCCGGTGTGTGTACAACCATCAGATTCACACAATTCGAAGTTTTTCTTGTCCCATTTTCCTATTAGCTGATGCACGATAACGTCACCTCGAGTGGACTTACGCTGGAGGATCCGCTGACGACAGGTGAGAATACCGCCATCAGACTAGCACGATTTGATGCCCAAAAAAAAAAATTTTGGCCTTTTTTCTTGCTGAAGAGCGAAAGGTAACATCACCTGGGGGTGATCAAACCAAGCCCCCGCCCCTCTAAACTCGCCCGCACGCTGATCGTCCCTCGTCAAGAAAAATCCCGTTTCTGGCGACTTCCCTCGTATATTCGTACGACAAGAAGAATGGATGAGTCCGTTGTTGTTCTTGAATGGTGCCGTAGGGTTTCCCGGCCGCGGACATCGGTGACCCGATTTGGTCGTGAAGCCCCTTTTGCGTTTGTTTGACTGGCGTGGGTGTGAGTGAGAGCAGTAGCAAACCAGCCTTTGTGTCCGTGGTGGATTCGGAGATGTTCTGCTGGATCGGTGCCTTTTAATGGTTGGAATGCTCGCTCGTGCGTAAAGGTAAGCGATCCGTGTGTCCGAAGCATTAAAGAAACATCGTATTCGTCAAGACTTGGGGTTCCTCGACCCGCAACCTGAGCTTGAGACTTGGGATCTCCACTGTTTATCTCGTGCCTGCCTCTCGACCACCCACCCACCCCATAAGCAGCTTCTTGCTGAGTGATTCACAAAAAGAAAAAAACAAATCCTGCTGCTGCACCACAAGTACTTTACTGGGACATCGGCTCCCATGTCGCCGCTTTATTCCAATTAAATAAATACACACCTCATTTAGAAAGGAATGCCAACTCTTCTTTGAGACGACATCATCCTCCTCCTACCGTTTATAATACATACACATATATGTGCACTCGACGACGGTTTACGTTAAATCAAACATAATAAACCCCTCATTATTATACAGTTAGCTCTGAAATAAATAGTAGCGGGCGAGCAGCATATCATCAATACTCATTCGCAACAGATTCATTCCACCAGCTCTAAAAGAACCATGCCATAATACATGGAAACAGCAGCACTCCAGAAAGGTTAGAAATAGAATTAGACAAATCAAACTTGAGTACACGTCCCCCCCCTTTAGTACATGTTTATATTCTTTTATATATATATATATATATAAAGACAATTCCCAGCTTCTCCCATCTCATCTCATCTCATTTCCCCTAGTTTGCTTCCGGTCTTTGCCCACTCATGCCATCTAACCTTCAACAAACTCTAATATAATCAGATGATCACAGGACCAGCGCTTCCTGGTTCTTGAAAATGACGTGAAACGAACACATCCAATACCATAACTTGTCGGTCACATGAACCCTTCCTCACGCTTCCGGTGCTGCATACATACAACAAAACCATTTCTTCTGCAGACACAACACAAAAAAGCACCTTAACGCTCAAATGGTTATACAAGCCATATATATAATATCTAGGCGCTGCAGGTTGACCATCAAAACTTCAACACATAACAACAACGTACCGAATAAGGAATTGAGATGATAACAGGGCCTAACATGAGATGCTCAGAAAGTACTTACAGCATTAGGCTTGGAAGCATAAGGTCCATGTTTAAAAGCTGTTCCTCCCTTCCCGGGAGAGTCCGTTTCACGTGAATTGCCACCTGTTTTCCTCTCATCTCTAGCTTTATTAAAGATCACAGTGAACCCCTCTGCAGAAGCAGGATCGTTGACATCCCACTCGCCAAACTTAGGCAAGGGCCGACCCTTGTCCTCCTGGAAAACCAAACACATTTATTACCAATTGGATATTACTGAAATATTGCAGGCTACAAATGTTATAACATCCGTCTTGTTTCATCAGTGCATATCAAGTTTCAAATATAAATGCCGGCAAATGTGCATTTTTTCTTTTTATAACTAATGAAAAGTGAATGATGTTGAAGTCCATTTACACAAACCAATGATGAAGATGCCATGAGGCAATGAAGCTTCATTCGTATCAGAGGCATTCTTCTAAAGAAAGAAAGCGTTTAATTGCTTCATGTCCCATTTCCTGGATGATGGAACCACCCATATCCAACCAAATTTGGGCAAATCATTGCCTCATTGCTACAAAGTTACCGAGGAAAATCGAGAGGAGGCAGGGAATCCCCATCCCTTTTCCCTTCTCTCTCATTTTTTTCCCCAGCATGGATGATCTTGATGGATTTATCATGTGAAGAGTTTCCACAGCAAAACGACAAAGAACATGGGATTGGGACATGATGTTCGGTTCTGTTTGGATGATACCCATAAAGATTGTGTATCCCATTATTTCCATGAGCCACTAATCACTTCAGCTACATTAACCAAAAGTCCTCTCTGCCCTCTCATAACCTGATATGTGAGATGCACAACAAAAGTAATGACAACCTCACATGCGAAAACAAAATTGCAGGAAAGAATTAGACCTTATTTTTATTATAAAATATAAATATGTGAATAGACTCCATCAGTGTACAAATTTGGTATTTGCATCTGATGCATCACACTCAAAAGCCAAGTCGAGGCATAAAAAAAGAAAAGAAAAAAAAAAGGGGCTTGCTACTATTTTGTCTCAACTACAAGGTTAATTTTCCAAATTTGTTCTAACCGTAGGGAAATGTTACAAGACAAAGGTCATGAAAACCATCCTCATTGTTTCAAACCAAGATTGCACTGGTCTTCCTCTGATCCACCCATAAAATTATTCTAAATTGGTACATCAGATATTGCCCTCGATAGAATCCGATGGAATGAAAAGATACATGAAGCCTACCCCAAATAGTTGGGATATACAAACCAATTAAGAGTGGCTGATGGAATCAGCAATCATTGCACGAAGAACTAATACTCATCCTGAAAATGAACCTTAAGGTTTTTGCCAGCTTGGGCCAAATCTAATCCAGAATGACATCAACTGGATTGTGAAACCTTATAGCATGTGGCTGATCAATTTTCAACAAGTTTTAAAAGCCCCAAAGCAACATCTTTGGCTACTTCTACGCTAAGATCATACTCGGTTATAAAAACATGTGAGCTTATATATTTGATCCAAAAATTTGTTTAATTCAATGGATGCTTATCATGGCTTCATAAATTGCCTATATTTTTGGACTTGTTACGCTGCAGTTAATTTTTTCATATAGGTAAATGCAGGAAATTCGATGCTCATCAGCATGGGTCAAAATATAATCTGGCATTTGACACATGCCTCTGAGGAATAATGCCGAACACCATCGAGTATGACCCCCATCGACCTTATAAAACCACAACTACCTGAATGTGGATAAGCACCATATGGTGATCTATATGGGGGCTGAAAACAGGATAGCAAAGAGAGAGGCGATACTTCATCAACGACATTTAAAAAGTATCCAGAGGAAAGCATTTATTTCAGGATTATACGACAAGAACATAAAGAAAGCCCAAAAGTGGATAAGGATTAAAGGAAAGAAAGAAAGACCTCATGATCTTGATTTACAGCCTAAAAGCACAAACTAAAAAAGAAAATCCATCACATTTCGGATCAAATAAGGGAGAATCCCTCGCGAAATGCAAGCGAAAAACATTGAAAGAATCCCTAAACATCGACGTAACGAACATCTGCCATATCTACCGGATTAAGGCAAACTTCCAAATACGCACAGAAGGAAACCAAAATCACAGCTGCAAACAACGGAACGTTTAAATCGACACCCAGATAACGATCCAAATCATCGATAGGCAATGAGCAAACAAGAGAATAGGAGGAGAAAAGAGGAGCGATGCAAATCTCGTCCACCAATCTCAGCCATCAAACCTCGAAGCCCTAACGAGATTAATCCCATAATACCAACCAAATAATCACACATCTGCAAACAATCCATAGGGTCATCAAAACAAGCAAAGAGAAGGGGGGAAACGAATCAGCACTTACCGACATGGTCTTACGGTGACGAATAAGGAATTGATGAGAAGGGAAGGGAAGGGAAGGGAAGGGAGAGGGCGAGAGGTAAACGAAGCGGGAAAGGGGGGAGAATCGTGAAGGACGAAATAGTTTCGGGGTCGGAGACGGTATTTATAGTGTGGGGGAGATGGGCTGAGCTACGTGGTTACGCGGGCCGTAACGGAAACGGGCTGTTCCGTTACGGATGGGAGGAGGAAAGGGACTGATTTAGGCAAAGACGGGAGCGGCCAAGTGGACGGAACGGTGACGAAGCGGGTAAAGCGGTAGCGGCTGCTTAACGGTGCAAACGGGTTGTTTTGTTTGTGGTGGGAGGATTGCCGATATATTATTATTATTATTATTATTATTATTATTATTATTCAGCGACGGTTGACACCCAAGAAACAAAATGATTATTAAGAAATCTCAAAGAAATGAAGTTTTCTCTATGGACTCAAAGGCAGGAATCGATTTCTATTTTGTTTTGTTTACTTCTCTCCCTTTGTTTCTTTTGGAGGAACTTTATCGAATTTCACATATTCCATTTTCCCCAATCAGGCATTCGAATGAAATCTCGGTTCCAGCCAACATATGTTTTGCATCCCAGTAAGTATGCAGTGCAGTGATCAATGTAAAAAAAAAGAAAATGAATTTATTCCGATGATGAGAAAATATGTTTCTCAGATCAAAGATGTTTCTGGGAGTGGATCACAACATTCGCCAACTAGAAAATAAATGGAGCCAGAGAAAGAAAAGAAAATTTCCATGAGGATAGAGGACGAAGGCTCCGCTCCGCTGCCAGATGACACACACACCTGCTGCACATTAAGAAAAAAACTCATTTGGGGGAGACAGTCGTCAAATATGAATTAGGTTCCTTGCTCTCGGCAAATGCTACATGAGAACAAGTTGTAAGTCACTCATGCAGGCCGTAGAAGAATGGCATGAAAGCAGACTATTAGCTCAGAGATCAATTTCCGTATGTTTTACCTATGAAAACTACTAAGTGGGCATGTTGTTACTGCTACTATCATCAAGGTTCAAAATCCTGTCCGGTACCAGTTTTGGCACCTTTATCAGACTGGGACCTTACAGTATTCCCCCCCCATTGTATATGGTGGACCTATCTATCTATCTATACCTACTGATGTCACTTGAAAGAATACTAAAGTGAACACAGATCAATACCGAGCTATAGGGAACTTGGTTCTCAGTATCCATCTTTGATTCTACGGGTATATTCGATACATTGGCTCCTAACAAATTTTTAATATTCTAGAGAAAAATATATCACGATATGTGGGAAACTTACTGGATCAAATGAAGCTACAGGAGCTCTAAAACGAGTGCAGAGGCTCCCCCGCCACCGTTGCAGACACCAGCAACTCCAATCTTGCTGTTTCTTTGTCTCAAAACCTATCAAAATATAAGAACGAAAGCTAATCACTGCTGATCAGAGAGTGTATACTTCTGACATGAAATTATTTATTAGTAAATTGTTAAATAAACCTAATCTTTGGCATTTAGATATAGTAATTGTTAAATCACTAACATCTAACACCAGTCTTGAGACGTATGAAAACAAGTACTGACATCAAAAACTGAGCATCCAACATCAGATCAAGAAGAAAAACAACCGACTGCCAAGATTTGGTGCATACCCCTAGCAAGGTGACCAGTATGCGAGCTCCACTGCAACCTAAAGGGTGTCCCAAGGATACAGCCCCACCATGAACATTAACTTTATCCTATGGGTAAATAAGCAAACAGGGCAGTGTCATATAATAAAGTAACATCAAAACATGATACATATAGACTCCTGCAAAGAAAAGAAATGGGTAAAGCTCCAACACTTGAGCTTTTAAAGATACAAATAAAATCCACAGGACTCACAGAAGGGAGCGAAAGAAGCTTTTGATTTGCGAGGGCGACGACCTGTCAAGGAGAACCAGGCATTAGTCTGCTTGGATAGTGTGATTATTAGGATTAAATGAGATTGAGCAAAATTATGAGAAACTGCAACTGCAGATACATACAGAGAAGGCTTCATTTATTTCATAATAATCTACTTGAGAAGCCTCCAAGCCAGCATTTGAAATAGCTTTTGGAATTGCAAGTGCAGGTGCTGTTGTGAATAACTCAGGGGCCTGTCTAAGAAAACTCAACTCAGCCTCTATTGTTATAGGACACCTTCAAAGAAAGGATGAAATATGATATCTTTGTATAAATTTATAAGTCTCCCAAGCCAGACAGAAATTATATATCATGCATAGCCATGATGAGATAGTCTTTCTAAATCTTAATAAGCTGTACATGAGCAGCATCAGCATAGCCTCTGATCTTTGCAATCACTTGCAATCCCAGTTCTAGAGCCTTCTTTCCACTTACTAGGACTAAAGCAGCAGCACCATCACTGATAAAAATCAAATCAAAGGGAAGACATCAAATGGTATAAAATACAAGATTAAAATTAAAATTTAGCTGGTTAATCTAGTATCACACTTCAAGTGAATCTTAATAAGAATCAGATCATACTCAGATTTCAGAGAACAAGGAACAAAATGAAATTCCCACATCATGCCAAAGATATTACAATTAGTAATAGCAATGACGTGAAAGTGAACTGTTCATATGAAAATGTGATGGACATGGCTATCAACGAGTTGACAATCGTAGGAGCAACGTTCGGTTGAACTGGTGTGTTCTAACTGTTATTTACCGATCCAAATAGGATCGACCCCCAAACCAGGCAATTACGCATGGTCTGGTTTGAACTAGTTTTTTTTTTTTTTTGTACAGGCTGGCAACAGCTGTTGATTGTCAACAGTCTGTTGTTGACAGCCAAAACAGCTGTCAATCACTGTTTCAACAGCCCTCTTCCTCTCCTCCTCTGTTGCTCATCCTTCTCCTCCTCTCCTCCTCCTCTTCTCTCTCTCTTTGGTCCGTGTCCATCGGAATTCTAGCATACCATGTGTTGGTATGTTGGTACATACCAGATGCATACCAATGTGACCAGGGACTGGTGGTAGGGGCTTTGGACAGAAACTTGCAACCTCGGATAGAAGGGTGAGGAATACATAATCACTTCTACTGAAGCTTTAGATTGAGATAACAACAATTTAAACATAAAAAACGACATGACATGGTGGATTTAAAAGCACTCACGATGTCCAGCAACAAAAGGTAAAACTAAGCCATACTCGTGGACCACCATTTCAGTTTTCAGGACCATGTCATGGACAGTATGCATATATCAGCAAGGTTCGCAATATCATACCGTACCGGTGTTTCGATCTCGGCTCGGTACCGGTACTGATACGGTGTACCGAGCGGTACACTCTAGCACTGCTACAGTGCATTGCTACAGTGTACTAGTGCACTGTACTGCTACTATAACAGTGCACTACAACAGTAAACTGTATTGTTGTAGTGCTACAGTGCATTGCAACAGTATACTATACTGCAACACTGCTAGATTGCACTACTACAGTGCAACTTCTATGAACAGTGCAAGAGATCGTTAGAAAAAGAAATACTTAGTAGTACGTTTATGCTTCTTTTCAATTTAAACTTTTATCCCCAAGAATGCAACAGCGACGTCAAGAAAAGTCAAAATTACCTGATACTAGATGCATTTCCAGCTGTAACTGTACCACCATTGTCCTTAAAACTTGGCCTGAGCTTCCTCAGTTTTACAGGATCAAACTAGCAAACTCAAAGAAGAGAGAAATAAGTAGATAGAAAATGACAGCAGGGTTAACATCCAATAGTGAATCAAAGAATTTGGATTATGGAAAAGAGAACAATATGAAGAAAAATATGCAGCATACTATTACATGATAAAACAGAGTACTCAATGCTTCGAAAGAAAAGGTAAATAAATACCCTACTTTCCATTTTAACAAAAAAATCAAGGTACTAAACAAGAAATTATAGAAAAATACAACAGGCTAATCGATTAAAGTAAGCAATCCTGCTTAGTGACTTTACCTTTTCCAGGCTTTCATCCTTATCAATGATCACTGATGGTTTTCCTCTGCCTGCCGATACTTCAACCTGAAAAGCATAGTACAAATGGAACAACTTCTCACCTATGATATTCAGCAACAATTTACTAGAGATAGAAGGACTAACTGGAGCTATTTCCCATGCAAATGCACCACTAGTCTTTGCAGTTATACCACGCTCATTGCTTTGAATAGCATAATCATCCTATATGAACAAAAGAAGATACAAATGTGATAATTTTGTGATCTATGAAGATAAACCACAATACATAGACCACATTGCCAATACCACAGAACTGTCCAGGAAATCATTATATTACACATTACTACCTTTCTTTACCAGAGTAAAAATATATCAGAAAAGAATACATGGAAACATATAAAGAATGTTTACATGTTGAAAATAAATCAATAGACAATTCAAACTAACATCATATGTCAAACACCCACAGAGTTGCTCTGGACCAATTGTCACAGTCCAACCTGATAGACCTACTAACCCAACAACGTAAATGACAGGCCTTTAACCCCATGTCCAAGTAACCTAACCCACCATCCACCTTTGACATGGGACTAATTGGGGAATTAAAAGATCTGGAGCTGGAAAAAAATTGATGCTTTAATAGACCTGAGCATAATGAATTAGACATTAGTATGACAGAAATATCAAGCAGAAAAAGGAAGAAAATTTAACAAGGATTGGACATAGCCAACCACTTACAACTGATCACATGCTGTATTTTAGAGAAAGATGCATTAACATAAATATAACAGTATTTAGAATGAAACACAAGCATTGTGTGTTAGCATCAGCTATCAGTAACATCAAATATGTGCAAAGAGGTTTGCTGACATCAAAAGTAAATCTCAAAGAGACCAGTAAACCTTCTCTACTAACAAATACATGACTTGTAAACAGTTCCTTGAAGATCAAGGCACATGGATAATGTTACGATTTTACCAAATACTTGATTTTGTTCACATGAAAAAGCATAAATATTACGCAGAGAACAAAAATGCTAAACAACCAGGTACGGAATAGGTAAGTGACGAAGGATTACCTGCTCTTCCCTTGTTATCAAATGATGATCAGCACAAAGTTCAGCACACATTCCCATGGCATAGTTATTGTATACATCCCAAAGACCATCCTTAAGCATTCCATCGACTAGAGTATCATGTCCAAATCGAGAACCCTTTCTGCATAAAATTTGCAATGGAGAATGGTAAAATCATGTATTTTCACTTGAAAAATCAGTCTGTCAGAGGAAGGCCAACCAAATGGAGAACACAAATGTGCAAAATCGACAGAAGAAGGCATGACGAAACTTGTCGTGCTAGTTGAAGAAAGAAGGGAAAAAGAATGAAACAAAGAATTCTGTTGTCTTCATAAGTACCAATATAGTCTTGCACATCAACCATTGAAATTTTATATATGTGGTTGTGCAATTAAAGTTATCAACTATGATGGCAGAGACTGCTTTCAGAATCAAAACTTTGAATAGAAGAATCTTACTAAAGTTCCCCATATCTCACTAATAACATACATAATCATTTTAATTACTGAACTTCTTTCTAATTTACCATCTGGAATATGTCAAAAGACCGTGTTTTATCTTAATCAATCACCAAATCATTGATACTCCACAGAGAAAACAATAATCCATGAACTAAATATGTTACACGGGTAATTTTTTAGTTTCTTTTAGACTTACCTATCATAACACACCCAAAATTATCTACAAATTTTGAGCAGAAATTTAGCTGTGATTTTCCAATGAATACCGTAGAGAGATCATCAGGGAAGGACGAAAGTCATATAAACAACCAACCTTGCTTCTGCAACATATTTAGGGGCATTTGACATGCTTTCCATGCCACCTGCCACAACTACATCATTGATACCCAGCTGGATACTCTGTGCCGCAAACATTGTGGCTGTGAATATAAAATAATCATTAAATGCATAGGACTTGCCAGCCAAAAAATTTAGGTAAATCTTAATGAAGATTGTACCCTTCATTCCAGATGCACAGACTTTGTTGATGGTAGTACAAACAACAGTATTTGGTATTCCAGCACCTAGTGCAGCTTGCCTAGCAGGAGCTTGCCCAAGATTTGCACTCAAAACATTGCCAAAAAAGACTTCTTGCACAAGTGCTGGATCAATGCCAGCCCTTTTAAGAGCACCTGAACAATATGGACAATATCTCAGAATATCGAACGGATTAGGAGGGTATAAAGATGAGAAGGTAGGAAAAAATTATATAGGTCTTACATTCAATCGCTACAGATCCGAGTTTGGTTGCCGACAAAGAAGACAAAGCACCAAGAAAGCTACCCATTGGTGTACGTGCAACACCAACAACACATACATCTGTCCACGATGAAAAAAAAAATTGTTGTGATAGATCTGGAAAATGAAGCATACATCCCTTGAAACATAATAAGTATGTTAAACAACAGCAAAACTGTATCGGGTTGACCTTATTCTTTACAATTAAATTGTCCAGACTTAACTAGCCGATCGTAGTCAGCGTTGTGCAATTCTGAGAAAATTAACTCATTTTAGCCCGGCAATACTAACACTGGTGTTGCCAGCAAGTATAAAAGCATTTTCCCGAGCTATCACGGTAGCTTCAGAACATTACATAAGCACAGATTGAGTCGGTTTCTATTTTAGTTCATGACCATTAACCCAAACACTAAGGTATCAAATGAAAACAGACTGCAACAGTTACAAATTACAGATATGATATCCAGAATCTTTGTTGAACTAGATCATTTAGACCAGCCATAACATTCCAGAGGGAAAAGATTTCAGGTATCGAAAATCTTAGTGATTGGATGAATATAAATCTGTTAGCACACTAAATTACATACAGCTTTCAACCATCTTAATGGATCAGGAAAATGATTCAACTTGTTATGGCTGGTCGCTAAAGTCTGTGTCATTAAGATCCCGTAAAGTATATAAACAAAGGAAAGCAATTCTAAATAGAACTCATTGGCCAAAACTAATGTTGTATCATGGTTTATTCTGCAATATGTTTACCTCTTGGTTGGATCAGATCTGAAGCCATTGCTGCCTCCGTCAACAAATCCAAGTGAGATAATTAATACAAGCCACTATTCTGGTCTTAAAAGAAAACAACAAGAAGAAATTTTATAAGCATCACTCCATCAGTCAGTCAAGCAACATAAACTCAGAACCGAAAAGAGAAGACGGGAAGATGCAGTTAATGCGTGGCTAACAGTGCAACCACCGCAATATGTTTATGCATCAGATCAAAATGGTAGTTACATGTGCATGGGAAACAAATCATACGAGACTCATATTTGGACCCGAAACCAAACTAGATTAAAGCAAATATTTGTTCTTTAAGAAAAACGCCAAAAGTAATGATACAAAGTTGTATCATTCTAGATCACAAAAGACAAAGAAGAAATCAATTAAATGGCATGATAGAAGCAATTTACATGGAGAAAGAGGGAAACAAGAAGGAAGCTGCAGAACCACAACAGATAAAAGCGACGCCAAGTTTATCGCCCAAAATAACAAAAAAAAAAAACAAGAAATCTGATTAAAATAATGCCAAAGAAATGAAAAAGCAGCTCAAATGTAACAATTTATCATAGAAACAACGTGCGTACAAGAGGATGAATCGAAAAGGGGGGGAAAGAAAGAAGGACGGGTGAAATGCAAAGAAGAGACCAGGAGACAGAGAGTACAATGCGGAAGCGGAACAGAGATCCGGGGAAAGAAAGGAAGGAAGAAGCAAAGAGAGAAAGATGGGTTAGGGTTTTTGGGGAGAGGGGTGGAAGGAGGAAGAGGAGGAGGAAGAGCTCACCTTCGTCGGCCCGAGAGGAGGAGGAGTAGACCACATCGAGGGTGGTCCACATATGTAGTGCCCAGCACGTGCGGGGCTGCGGGACGGGATCAATCGCCGTCGTACATTTCGCACTCTGTACATACTTCAAAATTGCAACAACTCCTTGCTATTATTATTATTATTATTATTATTATTATTATTATTATTTCGCATTTCTAAATGTCCACTTTAATAAACCGAGAAAAAAAAAAAGGTGTGATCATGACTTGGACAGCCACCGCGCTAACAGATTCATGTCACCACTGGGCACCGAATCTAATCTCTGTGGAAGGAAGGAAGGAAGGAAGGTCTTCTCCGGCTACAGATTAATGTGTTGGATTTGATCACAAGGAAAGGGAGTAGTGGTGGATTGTCCGTTTCTTTTTATTTCAGTGCTTTGCATGGGTCGATGGTGGTAGGTAGGGAGGTAGGTTGGTAGGTGGGCTTGCGCACGTGGGAAGAGGGAGGGAGTGTTGTTGGCCTGAGTCACGAGCGAAGTCGGATCTGCTCTGACATGTTATCACCCGACTCGACTCCTCTCCATTCGAGGCCAAATCTTTCTCCGGCGAATTTTCAAAAAAAAAAAAATCCTTACATCTTTGAGAAATTCCGACATATATTTTTTTCATAAATGATATGACCCGACTCCGCCTGTGTCTTGTGCCTCCGCTACCACTTCCTTTTCTGTTGTCTCATCGGACTTGTAATCGTTGCGGTCGTCGTTGCCCTCGTCTCTTTTCATGGAGTTTGAATGATGAGCGCAAGCCTCCGCCATCATCGGACCTATCCAATAATGAAGATATAGTAATCCCCATTGGCCTTCACTTTTATCGGACCTAACAATGATGAAGATATGATGAGTGTAAGACACAATCTCCACGACTCATTCGTTTACGTCTTTTTGTTAGTTGTGAAAGCTACAAGCAAAAACGGGCCACACCCCTTCTTTGCCCATGGTTGACGATGATAACCACTTGCACCCTTACGTAAAAATAAGACAAGTAGGTCCAACAAGGTGAACGCATTGCTATGTAAAATAAAATGATATTTTCATGTAGTAAAAAATGTTTTACGAAAATTTATGTAAATTTCTAAACAAATAATTTTTTCTAAGAATTCATCCATTATGTATATAAAAATTTCTAAACAAATAATTTTTTCAATCATTATGTATATAACAATGCAAATAATATTAAAAAAATATCAACAATCTTGTTCTATGAAAATATCTGAAATCATGGATGTGAAAACCTGTTTTTTGGCCAGGGAAAATATATACAATTGATTACACGTCTAAGCATCTTAATTGAACTTGTACATGGGAAAAAATTAGGGGAATACATTTACTGGCTCATGATTCTTAGCAACTGATGCGCATTTACATTCACATCAAAATAATCACCATCTTGCTGAAGTGGGATGAATTAAACTTCTTCGAAATTTTCCAGACCGAAGCAGATGGGATCATCATCACATCATCTTCTCGATTTTTTCGAGATTTTTCACTTTTCCCATGGATCTGAATGCTAGTGCCAGGAAAATACCTGCAAGATCCATACAGTGGGAACTGAATCCAAGCGAAGTTCATGAAAACACAATAGGTACCTCTTTTTTTTTTTCTTCCTCTTTGCAGAGGAAAAAATAATCAATAATTTTAATGCTAAAAATATAAGGCTCGATTGAACAATAATATAAAAGCCAACAGGTTCGATATCATAGAACATATTGAATCGGCCTCTTACCAGCACCAATGAACGATCCGTTTGCAATGGCTTGCTGTCCTTGGCTGCCCAATGTGACGCCGACATTCAGCAGGGTTCCACTTAGAGCCAAGCACATGGTGGCCATCTGCAATACTGAGGCTCTTCTTGCGGATCTTTCAGACTGGAAAAAAATATGAGCTTTGTGGTAAATAGGGAAAAGAAAAAAAAGAAAAGAACAAAAGAATAGAGTAACGATAATGCAGGTTCATCTAAAACGTGCATCGGTTAACTACCGAAAGCGGTCACTAGTAGTATAACGTGCAAATTTCTCCACAAAAAAAAAAGGGTGTACAGATGCAGTGAGGAGATAATATCTCTATTAGTGAAGACAAAAGGAAAAAAGATGTCCTTTCTGCAGCTTGCTTCTTTTTCTCTTCCATTTTCATGGTTGCTTTATAGCAGGAAATTATCCTGCTGCTGTCCGTACTCAAGTTCACATCTACTGAAACCTAATTTTTTTCAGAACATTTAGCTTTTTACATATGAAGCTACTTTTATTATCAGTCGTATTTTTCTACAGGCCTAAATGAGCACAGACATAAACTCTGATGGACTTATGGGGGGTGGCAAATATTCACATGAGAACGATCACCTTCACTTATGGTCGTTGTGTTAGTGTGTGTGCGTGTGTTATGTATACATAATTGCTAAAATTTAAATGTAGACTTTTTGACACAAAATGACTGACTGTGCATTTCATAATGATACCTCGAGCACCCTGACGCGAAGCTTTAAGTCTCCCGATTCAAGTTGGCCCACAAAATTTTCTATTCTCTGGATCCTGTACGGCATTGAGATAGTAAGATCTCTGGCCTGCAGTTTGGCAATGCGTCGTCTTTGTTAGGCAGAACAAACTACCGATCGGTTATATTCGACATGAAACATCTATAACAGAGGTTCAGGGAAATAAGAATGTCTAACAAAGACACCACTGAGGGAAACTATCAAGACAAGAAGAAGAAGAAGTTGCAAAACGCCATACGTCATTAGCTTGTTTTCTTATCTCCTCAACAAGTTCTGTCCCACCAGGTTGCTTCTGTCGTATGTCCAGTAATTCCTGAGGGATTAACAACATGATACAACATAGATATGAGAATTTGGTTGCCCATTGGATCCCGTCATATATGAAAGGAATCTTATTTAAGGAGAACATAAATGAATACATATGATTAATTTGAAATGTTAAGGTCACAGAGGATGTGCAGTAGAATCAGAAATGTTGCCACGGCAATGAGTATACATATATATATAGAGGGTAAGGAGCTTACGAAATATTGAATGCATGAAGATATTTTCTAATAGGAAGATAAGGTAACAGGAAGGTGTGAAGAAAATCTCGTAAAGCAGCCTACAATGATGCTGCAAATACAGAAAGCTGAAACAAAGAAACTAATGCCAAAAGTTGAATTATGGCATGAAGAATGGCCTTTTTTTTACCTGAGCATATGGTGCAGCAATTTTCGGAAAGGAAAACTTTGGATCCAACATATATCCGATGCCTGCAGGTCAAAAGTAGAAGATAAAGAAGATGCATATTTGTCTTCTGTTGAAGCAAAGTATCTGCACTGCTTATGATAACTACATGCGGTAATCAATAGTAAGCCCTCTCTCAAAATCCATATAACAAAATTGCAATTCTTACAAATGTTACAATAATAACAGAATCCACTAGCTATGACAGAAATTTATCCTGGTTTACTCATGTAACTAAAAGCAGAAATCACATCCAACCTACATCATTAGTTTAAAGCTGAGTTACTTTGAACATGTTCAGGTATTCAGTAACATTTTATGGGATTAATATAGTTGAAGTATATATTGATCCACTTAAGTTCATTAAAAAAAGGACTCGATTTAAGATAAATAACGAATTAGTGCACAAGTACTACGACATCTCAGATGAATAATGAATCGATTTAAGATGACATAACAAAATTATCAATGCAACAGAGAGAATATAGAAGATGATGAAAGACATTTAGTATGCAACTCTGGATGTAAGAATGCACCTTCAAGGGTCATGAATGCCCTCAGGACAAATGTAAAGGTGGATGGAAAGCGGAACGGCTGATCAGTTGCTATGGCAAACAAGTCCTACAAAAAGCTATTAATTATTCACCTGTATGAAACATTAGCACTATATGTACAGGACTCCTCAACTAATGCAGCCTACCTCACCAATTACTGCAACAGTCTGCTGATGATCGGTTGTTTGGCTCAAAATACCATCCAATACAAAATTTATAGACCTCCTCACCTAAACAATCATCAGAATGTACAAGAATTTAAATTCACTCTGAGTAGTTATCATTAGATGAAGAGGGATTTAAGAACATTAGCAGGCTTTGCTAACCGATGACAAGTCCCCTGTTGGTTGAAGTGCTTCAAGTTCAATCAGACATCTGACAACCTGTGTAACACTCATTGTTGAATCCAAAATTGTTAATAAATCCAAGGATGCTAATTAATGCCAGAAACTACTGCATCTAAGACACTCCTTTGATGTCAGAATTACAATTATAGCACATGTAGATATTACTGAATCCAAATCTACAACTTAAGCCAATATAGATTGTTCTGGGGAAGGTTCTTAGTAGTAAATATTTGCATACCAGATATTCAAACAGAGAATTACCATTTCATAAATTTATATCTAGATTAAATTGTTTTTAATTTAAAATTATTACAAAATTTGATTTTTCAGAGAAGTTCATCAAAAAGTTAGCAAGCGACAAAAAGTTAATAAATTTGCTAGCACGAATGAACTACGATACCTAATTAATAAACACAGACAAAAAAAATGCTATTGTTACACTATACTAAAACATGGCTCATCTGTCATATACTACTGAATTAGCACATAATCTCATACCCAAGTTGTTTGCTTGAAATCAAATTTTAAGGTAACATGTTACATATTGAAGTATGTACCTAAACCACTCTTAATATGGCAATTTCTTGTAAAAGGCATGTATGATATCACAAGCTAGAAATGAGCATGCAAGATGCCATACATTATATACAAAAGATCATTCCACATAGGAGGAGGACCTCAAATAAACAAATGACAGATCATCTTCATGCATGGTAATATTATTATTGTCAATACCTTGTTTACATCCTTCTCATAGACTGCATAGAACAGTTGAAGCAATCTCTCCCTGGTGAAAGATTTAATTTCACCCA